GGTGTTGGAGCAGAGGGAGCAGCTACTGGACAGAGCAAAATCCTTTAACTCCATGTCTCTTCTGCTCAAAAATCTGAAACCATCACCCTGCTTTCCACTTCCTGAGTCTTGCCAAAGTGACAGGACCCTCTGAGAGCGGCAGTGCCTGGGGACAGAGATGGCACTGCTACAGGGGTGGAGTGATGACTGAGGAGGGCCCCGAGGGCTGCGATGCACACCTCGTGGGAAGCAGGGCATCCAAGCAGGACAGTGTGCAAGATTCCCGAGGAGTGCAGGCCCTGTGAGGTCCCGGGCTGTCAGGCAGCCCTGCCCTCAGCAGCTGCCCTACATCCTGGGCAACAGGGTGATAGCTGCCCAGAATGAAGAGAAGAGCAGAGGGGGCAGAAGTGAGACCTGCCTCAGTCACATGAGGTCAGATCCTAGCCCTGTACCTGCCGGGGCTCCGAGGAAAGCCACCTGCCATCTCTTAGCCTCAGCTTCCCTCTGTAACTTAGGGAGTAATGCCAGTGCACACATGTTGGGAGGTTAGGGAAAGTGTAGAGCAGCCCACAGTATATGCTCAGTTAGTGGGGAGTGTCCTTTTGGATGAACACTGGTGTTACATGCCTTGGCCTGGCACAGATTTTCCCACTTCAGTTTCCTTCTGCCCGTTTGCTAGTGGCAGGAAGACTCTACTCACTGTTTTTGCCTCCTCTGGAGCCTGATCTCCCCCACATGCAGCCAGCTGAATTTTCCCTTCTCTGCCTGTATCTAATAACAATGTGGGTTATGAGTTTACAGTTCTGCCTTGCAAGGAAATACTTCTTTGCAATAAAATCCTAGAATGTAAATTGCAAATGACACTTCCGTGAGACTGAGGGACAGCAGCTCTGCTCAGGGTGACCCTAGCTGCACTGGCAAAGGGTTCACAGGAGACAAGCACAAGTGCTCCTTCCAGGCCAATCTTGGAACTCTGTGTCATGGCGGGAAGGGTCCTTAGAGAGTGTGAACAGTGAGCAGGCAGCCTGGCACAATCAAGTTCAAAGCATCATTGTGGCATTTGGCTACTGTGTGTGGGAGAGGACATGTCACTTAGAGACAAGAAGCCAGCCCTGAGTGGGCCAATTCCATCAGGGGCTGTCAGGGGCCAGGCTGGTGCCATAGCAGGAGGGGTGAGTCAGGCCAAGCCAAGGATGATTGGCTGCAGGGGAGGGTGTACTGGAGTAAGGCAGGTGCTGGCCTGGGGTGCAGCCCCAATCTGAGCAAAGCAGTGGCCCATGGCCAACCAGTGGTTGACATGCAGAAATACAAACCCGCTAATGCCAGCTGTTCCTGTTTTCCAAGAAAGCTAGTGATCTGAATTACTAGGGAAAATGTGCAGGCTTTACAATGTTAACTCTCATTTTTGGAAAATACTTGAAAGCCTAAAAGCCCACATCCGCAGGCCAGCATCAGGCCATGGGTCTAGAATCTATTTTCTTCAAAGCAGAGCATTTACAGACACTGCCCTGATTAATGAGAGCTTCAGGGAGACTGGAAGAAGGAGGAATCAGGACAGCCTGGTCCCAGGTTCTGCTAGTGTGAAGAATTATACCTAGAGAGTAAATTGAGCTAGGGCAAACTGAACTTCAGGAAGGGGAATTAGCCCGGCTGAGACAGGAGGCAGTGGTGGAGGCTAATGACCTTGGGCTTGCAGCTGAAGACCTGCATGTTACCCTGGTGAACTCCCAGGGGGCCGGGCCCACAAGCTGCCCTCTTTGTAACCCCCGGTGTTTGCTTCAGAGGCCAAGAAGCACCAGGGGAGCCCCAGCAACTTGTTGAGGCTCTCAGACCTTAACCTGTCTCCACACTGATAGAGGAAGTGTTTGCTGAACCCCACGTAGATTGGTTGTAGTCCATGAAGCCTCAGGAGGAGGCAGGGTAAAAGCAATCAACTGTAGACTTCCAGAACCACATTTAAGACAGGACTTCTCCTTCCCTGGGGCATTCTTCTCTACAGGGTCACAGAACCATAGGATATGTAGAGCAAGAGACGGGGGCCTTTAATGGGCTCCAAATGTCAGGAGTGGAGGTGAGAGGCCCCCCAAGACCCTAAGGCTCCGCTGACACTCAAAGTGGACCCTTGGTGACACTGGGTGAGGATCTGGCCCAGGGAGATCACACATCTTGGTTTTGACATGTTTGCTTCCTCATAGGAATCCCTAAGAATTCCATTTTGGGGGTGACCTGCCATGGAAGACAGAGGTGCCCCAGCCCCGCCTCACATAGTCCTTTGAATGTTGCCTTTGCAGAAAACTACGAATTGAATGTTACTGGAACAGGCTTTAATAACGCAAGGAACAAAAACGAAGTTATCTGTAGATTCATCTTCAGCGAAAATAAATTCTTCGGTAAGTAGCCCCATTGGTGCCTCCAAGTGACAAACTCCCCACCTCAGGCTGCCTTCCCCTCAGCCAGCCAAGCCTTCAAAGCCCTTGCTGACATTGCACTGTGGACACTGTGAGGATAGATCCGTGTGGACAAGGGGAAGGAGGGAGCTGGCTGGGAAGTTGGGAAGTCATCAACCCCCAAAGCACCAGAGCCTCTTGGAGCAGGGCTTTACCCCTAACGGCTCTGGGTGCTGGGTCTGCCCCAGAGCTGCATTCCCCATCCCTTGGCTCAACACTCACTTGTCTTGAGCCACAAGGACCTGAATCCCCAGAGACTGCTGGTAGAAACGAGGCAGTCCTGGGGCTCTGAGTCTGGGCCAGGTGCGTTGGTATCTTCCTGGAAGGGTATGTGCACCTGGGATGGAGAGAGGGTGCCACCTGCCAGACCCAGGCCCTGGGATCCTGGCATAGGCACATGTCACATGTGTGACTTTCACCAAATGAGGATTCTGTTCTCCGCCTCTCTGTTCTCTACTGTAAAATGGGGCTAATATGATAGTTGAGCTAACTAAGCCATATTGCCTATGCAAGCCAATATTTGGGAAACACTCGGGCTCAGGTGTACCTCCATATGTCCGAGTGGCCTGAGGAAGCGCACGGATGGGCAGGCAGATGTGCCCTCAGTGCTGAAGTGGGTGTGATCCTCCCCAGAGCTCTGGGGGACAGGAGGACTTTCTGTGTCCTCCTCGGCGCTCCCAGTTAGCCCCCTGATGCCATCATTTGACCTAATTATGTTCAGTGTATGTTCAGTGACATCTTCTTCCAGGGCCATCTGGTCAACCTAGAACTACCTCCAGCCAACGTATCACTGCAGGATGAATGTTTCAGTCCCCTAAGGGAAATGGTGTCTCTAAAGGTCAGGACAGGCCTGATCTAAGCATCTGCCCCTTCCCTTCCACTCTCTGTGCTTCTTGTTGCTTCTTGTTGTCTCAGCACTTCTCACTCTCTGCATTTATTTTGTTCTTTGTTAGTTAGTTCTTTGTCTGTCTCCCGCCAGTCCCCCAAATGTAAGGCCCTTGGGAGCTGGGACTCAGCCTGCCTTTTCCATTCCAACCAGAGCATTGCACAGGGCCTGGTGCGTGGTAAGGGCTCAGAGGAAGGTGGGCAAAGAGAAGCTGGTGTCTGCCAGAGTGTTAGCTCTCTTTGCCGAGGGCCGGCAGAAAGAGAGATGGATGGACGGACATGCCATTGGCAGCATTCTCTTGTGATTTTCCCTTAGATAAAAAAGCCGCCTCTGTGGAGGACACCACCATGATGTGCCCGGGAGAAACGATAGATAATCCAGATCAGTAAGTGCCCAGGTCAGGGGCCACATGTACAGTTTTGCCACTGTGAAGTATATAGAATGTGGGATGCCACCTCTACTGGGGAAGCACATTTCTCTCCCAGAAGGCTCAGGGCATTCTCTACACTTGACCTTGTTGGTGGTCACACGAGATGCTCACGGATCTGCTGTGGCAGGGTCTCTGCTGAGGAGGGAGGATACTGGAGATGATGATTCCAGGAATGATACCTTTGCTCCAGACAGCTGTTGAGAGCTAAGCCAACACGGTCTATAAACGGAGAGGAATCAGGTGACCCCAAGCCACCCCGCTGGAAACTTAGCCATGACCATGAGGGCATCTGAACTCACGTAAGGCTCCTCATGCCTGGTCAGCCTTCACTGCAGAGGTTGACCTCAAGTGCTTAGGGGAGCCCCCCGAACCCGTGCCGTGTGCTCACCAGTGGCCCCAAGGTGTGACGAGCAAATCATTACAATGAGAGGAGCCATGGGCTGTGGTTTGAGCTGAGTGGAAGAACTGTGCCTATCTGGGCTGGTGGTCACTTTCCACAATTTCTGTGCTTTAGGGTGGTCTTCATTGAAGTTAGCCTGAATAATGGCATCAACTTCATCAGCAACGGTGCTAACATCACCAGCAAGAACTGTGTGAGTGCCAGGGTAAGGCTGCAGCCTCCCTCCTGGGTTGTCCACAGCATTTGCACTGAAGGAGTCACACCCAGGGAGGCAAGATGTGGGGGACAGGGTGCCGAGGGCCTGAGCAAGTGGCTCCTGCAGACAGGCAGCTGGGGCAGCTTCTCACAGCCGGCTTGGGGCCCTCAGCCCTTCATTGGCAAGCCGTCCCCACACTCAGGCTTCTGAGGTGCCCTGGGAGTGCTTCCACAAGATCCCCTGCGGTGCAGCCACCTGTCCAGGCCCTGCAGAAGTTCTGCTCTCTGTGTGAACCAAGTGTCATTGGAGGCACATGAAAGGGGACAATTAGCTCTGAGCAGACTCCAGAAATGGTGCTGAGCCTATGACACCTGCCTACCCACTCACCACCTCCCCTGGCCCACGTCTAGTGGTGGGGAGCTCAGGGCTCCATCCTGCATTCCAGCTAGGCAACTGGGAGAGGCTGGGGGGCTGTGTTCTAAGAGCCAGAGTCCAGGACCTCTGGGACACTGGGACACTCCAAATCCAG